AATAGGCTACTAGCTTTGGAAAATATCCCTACCCATGACCGTGCAGGAGCAATAGGAAAAATATGTTTTCATATCATAATGCATTGCCTGGGTGATCATGATAAACCCAAAGAAAACTTCATTGGATTTGCCTCAGATGGAGCTAGCGATATTGCTGGCATCCACAATTCTCTCGTGAATCGGCTGAAATCAGAACTAACAGGTGTAGCACTCATCAAATGTATGCCATTCTATTCACGTCTGTTTTGCGCAAGTCTCAAAGTATCTTCCTCGTAGGTGCGAAGATCTGGTAAGAAATATATTGTCAATTCCCACACAGTGCCAAACATATGCACCAATTTAAGCAGCTTCAAGAATTTTGTTAGATTAAACCTCAAAAAATGTTACTTGTTTGCCAGATAAGATGGCTCTCTTATCATGCAGCTGTTCAAAGATTATTAGAACCACGGGAGTTTCTTCAACTATACTTTTTAAATAGGTGCTCTGAAGACGTCTTACACACTACCAAGAATAAGCTTGAGACTTAATGATCTATGAAACTGTATTTCAGATTTTGAACTATATTCTCCCAAAATTTAATAATCTCAATCTCTTTTTTCCAACACAGGGACCCTCAATTCAAGTTTTCTATAAAAAATGATTTGTATTGGTGTTACATGAAGAGAAAAGAAATAAACAAGTACAAGAACATCGCTTCCTTAAATCCAGATGGCAGTTCTAAATTCCTCCCAATGCATCCGATTTACCTTAGGTCAGACATCCATGCACTTTTCCATAAACTACAAAACTTTCTAACTATTGCATACAAGGAAGGGTTTCCAATGTCATCACAGGAATTTGGGATGTGCAAGATTTTTGAATAAGGAATTTTTTAGACGAAAGGTATTTGAATATCTCTATCATCCCCAATAGACTTTTTCATTATAAATAAATTGTGCAGTCCACAACAATTAAATTATGAACGGAGATCATAATTCCACTAGAAATTAGAGATGTGGCAAATTCTGAAGAATTCTTCAGTGCAAGAAGCTCACTGCATTGGTATTTTGGCCATCTTGGTCGAAAGAATATTTTCGAAAGTCAGTCTGTCAAAAAACAAAAATAGTAATAAATTTTCAACATCTATTTTTTCACCAACATTTTTTTTCTGAAATACTGAAACTGACGACTATGATAGTTTGAAACCAAGTATGAAGTTAATCAATTTTGTACACAATCAAGCTTATCAGTAACTGTATGTTTGCCTATTAAGTTTAATAGTCTGAATTATGGTGATGGGATAAGAAAATTGCTTATCATATTTGTTAATATTGATATGATACCGAACACCATAACTGAAGAAGCTGGCCTTACCATCCAATAGAACGTAACAGTAACATTCTAGCGAAGATGTAAAATACATGATGCGAACTCTCCCATCGCCGGGAGAATAATAAAACAGAATTGTAGCGAGGGAAATCAAATGAACCAATTGCCGTGACGTGACGATAAACACTAACGACTAGATTTGAAATAGTTAACACGTTCCAACAGAAACTGGGTCCAAGAGAAATAGATACTCATCCCCGGAAATCGATGTAAGGTGTCATATACATATTTACCGATATTTATTTGCGATTACACTTCTGCCATATTTTTTCTTGCGTTTGCCCGTATATGTTCGTAGTTTTCTTTGATTTCTTCAGAAAACAGGTATACGAAACTAAGGGCGTCTTCGGTAGCGCCAACTCCAACCGTTAAAAAACAGAGCTCACAGCATCTCGTCCTACATGCTGCTTGGATAATGGTACTACTGCCAGCCGTAAGAAGAAATCAGGAAAACTTTCTCTTTAACTTTGATTGAATATTGCATCCTCACTTCACACAGACCACCATGGGGACAACGTACACGAATCATCTAGAGTGCAAACAACAATTTTACAAAAAATAGACTTGAAATCACAATAACAAATGAAAATGTAAAAATACTCACTTCACACAGACCACCATGGGGACAACGTACACGAATCATCTAGAGTGCAAACAACAAATTTACAAAAAATAGACTTGAAATCACAATAACAAATGAAAAATGTATTATATATATATATATATATATATATATATATATATATATATACTTAATATGTATAGTATATATTTATTATTATATATATATATATATATATATATGTTGTACGTCATAGTATGTAAGCTACATCTATATGGACTATATAGGTAAATATCTAGTATGTGGTGTAGACACTATAAGTATTATATACACATAGAGTGATGCATATGAATATATATATATATACATTATAAATATATATAATAATTATAGTACTGATAGGTATTTTAAGTAGATATTTTACCTAATATATATTTTACTATTAAAGAATCAACAACACACAACACGCAACTACCACACACACTTAGTACGATTCACACACACACAACACACAACACAACACATATATAATATATATATAATATATATATAATTATATATATATATCTATAATTATATAATATATATATATTATAGCGCCTTGACCCTTATATATAGTATAGTAATAAATTCTTATATATATAATATAATATATATATATATATATACGGGTAATATCCGTGAATCCTTAGCCTTCGCAGATAAGTGAATAGGTATACTTTATTTCGAGAGGTTACCTTATGTAATACCTTGCTACCCTCAGAGTGAGAGGTGAGGTGTATGTGATGAGGTGAGGAGTATGAGGTATTGAATAGTTGTAATATACGACAGCAGTTGTCAGAATATATATGTATAGGTAGATATTTATTGTGTCACTAATGGATTATAATTTTTTATTAAATTATATATTATATATATCGTATTACCTTACCTATATAATATACTATA